CAGGCCCAGACGGATTCACTGAAGAATTCTACAAGAAATACAAAGAAGACCTAATGCCAACACTCCTCACAATCTTCACTGAAATGGAAAGGGAAGCAATCCTTCATAATTGTTCCTAGAAGCAAATATTACTCTAGTACCAAAACCAGAGGAGGACCCAACTGAAAAAGAGAACTACAGACCAATCTCCCTAATGAACATAGATGCAAAAATCCTCAATAAAATATTGGCAAATAGGATGCAGCAAATCAAGGAGAAGATCATATACCATGACCAAGTGGGATTCATCCCAGGCATGCAGAGATTGTTTAATATATGTAAATCAATAAATGTAATACACCATATCAACAGAGCCAAAAGTTATAATCACATGATCATTACTATAGATGCAGAAAAAGCTTTTCATAGGGTCCAACATTCATTTATGATAAGAGCCTTGCAGAAAATTGGAATAGATGGTCCTTACCTCAATATAATAAAGGCCAGCAATGACAAAACAACAGCCAGTACCATACTAAATGGTCAAAAACTGAAGGCCTTTTCTTTAAAAATCCTCACAAGACAAGGATGTCCCTTATCACAGCTCCTATTTAATATAATACTGGAAATACTGAGCAGAGCAATTAGAAAAGAGAGAGAAATAAAGGTGTAAAGATACGAAAAGAAGTTATATTATCATTACTTGCAGATGACATGATACTTTGTATTGAAGATCCCTGAAGCTCCATTGGAAGACTCCTAGATATAATAAATACATTCAGTAATGTAGCAGGATACAGAATCAATACTCAAAAATCAATATCATTCCTATACACTAACACAAAATCACAGAGACAGAAATAAGAGGCCACACCCTTCACACTAGCAATCAAGAAAATGAAATATTTAGGAATTACTCTCATGAAAGAAGTGAAAGACCTATACAGGGAAAATTATAGCACACTGAAAAATGAAATTGAAGATGATCTCAGAAAATGGAAAGACATCCCTTGCTCATGGATAGGAAGAATAAATATTGTGAAAATGGCCATTCTCCCAAAACTTTTATACAGATGCAATGCAATCCCGATAAAAATACCATCAACATACCTCATAGAACTTGAGAAATCACCCCTAAAATTCATCTGGAATGAGAAGAAACCTAGAATAACAAAGACAGAGGCAGCAAAAGCAAGGGAGGAGGCACCACAATCCCTGACTTGAAGTTATACTACAAAGCAACTGTAGTAAAATCAACATGGTACTGGAACCAAAATAGAGCCAAAGATCAGTTGAATAGATGAGAAGATACAACCACAACTACAAACACACTCAAGTACCTTATTTTGATAAAGGGGCCAAACATGTTCACTGGAAAAATGACATTCTCTTTAATAAATGGTGGTGAAAAACTGGCTCTCCATATGCCTAAAACTAAAACTAGACCCATGCCTATCACCAAGTACTAAAATAAAATCTAAATGGATCAAAGATCTAAATATTAAAACAGAAACACTAAATCAATTGGAAGACAAATTGGGTAAAAACCTTGAAGACATAGGAGTAGGTAGAGAATTGATGAACAGGACTCAAACTGCATGGAAAATGCTTCCCAGAATCAATAATTGGGATCACTTCTTATTAAAAAGTTTCTGCACATCAAAAGAAATCTCAAGTACAGTGAAAAGAAAACCCACAAACTGGGAAAAAATCTTAGTGAACTGCCCCTCAGACAGAGGACTTCTGTCTAAAACATATAAAGAATTTTAAAAAATGAGACCACCAAAATTCAAAGACCCAATCCAAAAATGAGCATCTGAGATGAATAAACAATTTTGAGATGAAGAAATACAAATGACAAATAAATACATGAAAAAATGTTCACCATCATTGGCCATTAGAGAAATGCAAATTAAAACCACACTGAGATTTCATCTCACTCCTGAAAGAATGGCCAAGATCAAGAAAACCACCAACAATAAATGTTGGAGATGCTGTTGTGACAAAGGAACTCTCCTGCACTGTTGATTGGAGTGACTGGTACAACCATTGTGGAGGTCAGTCTAGAGATTTCTCAGAAATCTGGGACTGGAAGTACCTTTTGACCCAGCTATTCTACTTCTAGGCATATTCACAGAAGAACTGAAAGCATCATTCCACAGTGATATATGTGCACCCATTTTTATAGCAGCACAGTTTGTAATAGCCAGATTTTGGAAACAACCTAAGTGTCCATAAACTGAGGAATGGATAAAAAAGTTATGGTGTTTTTATACAATGGAGTACTACTTAGCTATAAAGAATGATCACATTGACATATGAATAAATGGATGCATACTGAGACCATACTCATAAGTGAAATAAATCAAACTTACATGTATAAATACCAAATATATTCCCTAGTATAAGAAATGATAATACATAGAAGTATGTGGTAATCATGATACCCAATCATATTGGTGTGAATCCATATAATGTTTTCACTCATTAAGTTCAATGGTTTTACCCTGGGTTTTTCGATTTTAATATCTGTGATAGTACAAATAGCTATTCTGAAGAAAATAACACATCATAAAAGCTAGTGCTGATTTAATATCACCTTCTTTGGAACTCCCATCAAGTTGTTGTACATGTTTCCACTGATTTTAACATGTTGTATCTTAATATATTTTAGTGTGATAGTATAAATAAAATTTTTTACAGGCAAAGAGATAATATAGAAATCGTTGTTCATTTTCTGTTAACTGGCTCTATATACCCTGTAATTCTTTTATTCTCTTGAATGGCTTCACACTGTCTTGATGTGATTGATTCTATAGTATACGAAGTTATACTCAAACAATTCAAGGAAAGAGGCACTATGGTGACTACTAGTATGTTAGATTACCTGGTGGTGAAACAAAATGATGCTTTAATTGTTCAGTTCTGACCTGTGTTATTCTATTGCAATGTCTCTTTTATTTCGATCTCCACCCTTTTAAAAATTATTCAATTTTTTCTTATTCTTTTTCAATTAAAGGAAAACTAAATTTAAAAATAGCAGGATATATTATAGTAACTTTTTTGTTTTCCTATTAACCTGATTTTAACCCCAGTATTGCTCTCCCCATCTTGTTCTGCCTGATTTTACTATATTCTATTTTGTTTGATAGTATCAAGTTTGAGGGTATAGGCAATCACTTTGTAGGCAATAAGATTTACTATGATGCCCATTATGGTTTGACTATTACCTTCTTTTGAAATTCTGTAAGGTCTCCAATGTAGATTTTATTGGTCTTGTTCTGTACTGTTTTGATCAGCTCTATTATACCTGAAGATATAGGGAACTCTTTTTAAAAATAGCAAGAGGCACAGTGGTAACCATTTTTGATCACCTGATATTCTATTTTTGCTTCAAGTACTATGCCCATCCTTATGTTCTAACCAACTCTGTTTTGTTAACTCACTTGTGGTTTTATTCTCTTCAAAAAAAGTAATAAGAACTATGGGAGTAAAAAAAACCCCAAAGGTGTAATTGTTATTGTGAAGAAGAGAGGAAAGGAAGGTGGTCTATGGGATATAAGTGCCTGTTTGAGTGTTTAGGAAGGAAAACCATATTACTGAGCTTTTGTTGGATCACTGAACAGAACTGTCTGCACTCTTGCTGTAGGAATGTTCACTTTATATGCTTTAATTTTATAATTTGGCCAACTGTTTCTAAGAAGACAATATGTAACCTATTAACTAGTGATTTCTTACTGTATTTTTTTCTTGAAATTTTGTATTATTTGTACCCTTTTACTGCTTTGTTTTTTATGTTCTTTTTTTCTCCTTAAATAAAAAAATTAAACATGGAATTTATATCTTTTATTTATTTATTTTTTGGTACTGGTGATCAAACTGACAACCTCACACTGGCCAGGCAGGGGCTTAAGCCACTGAGCTAAATCCCCAGCCACCCAATATATATCTTTGACATCTTATCATCTTCAGAGTAGTTGCCTCTACTCTTGGACTTGATAACAGCAAGCATACCAAATGTGAGTAAAATCAGTCAAGGCCAAATAACATTCAAACAAACCAGCTTCAAATAAGATCAGTGATAGTAAGACAATGTAAGTATTACATGGTTTCAGTTTTAGTTAATAGGAAATTAAGGACAATTACCATCATGGTATAATCTGCTGTTTTTGGGTTATCTCTCTGTGCACTCAAATGTAATATGAGTAGGCAGACCAGAACAAAATATAATCAAACTAAACAGAGCAACAGAACTACTGTAGCTTTTAAATCCTGATACACTTTTAATAATGTGCTCTGCCTTCTTTATTTAGGCAATTCCTCACCTTTCTCCTTCTCAGGATACTATTATTCACTATTCAGAGTGATATTAGTTTAGTCTCTTATGTTCAATTTCAGCATACATAAAAATAAATTCGTCTACTACGAAGAGAATGAGACACATTATGGTAATCATTATCAACTTCCCCAAAATCAGTGTTGAAGATCACAAAAGCCTGCATCACCCTGTAATTATTTGATTAGTTCTATAATGTTCAGTATATATTCAATGCATGTGAAGATGGGAACAACTATTTTGAAGAAAACTAGAGACAGTAAGATAGACAATGAATATCTCAGTGGACTTGCTTTGAAACCTGTGTTTCCTTAACTTGTTTCCTTATGAACTGTTCTGCTTTGTTTTGTCATGTTTAATCTTACTGTCTTTAAGACAAAAAAAGATTGTAGAACATACAAGCATATTATTAAGTTTTTGTTGGATCACTGAGGTAAACTGTTCAGTGTCATTATTTGAATATCACTTTGTATGCTTAATCTTATAATGAGCAATTACTTCTAAGATGACAATATGTAACTAATCAACTAGTGATTTCTTTTTGTTTATTTTTTAGAAATTCTGTATTGTTTGTACACTTTTTGGTTTTTTCTTTAAATAAAAATAATTCACGAAAAATATGAAAATTAAGTTTTAAAGACAAAATATTTAGTACATAGACACTATCCATGCTTGAAAGTGAAAAACCCATTTCAGTTTACTATGTTTAATTACAAGATGCCATGTTGAAGCACAAAGACACATTAAAAAATCTAAAGAGGTATAAGTGATTAACTGAAAACCATACAAAATGTGTACTTGAGTAGAGCCCCACTTCAGATATGTCGTTTCTGGAAAATTTGTGAAGAAATATTGACATGAAACTTCTGTATTGATTATTTCTTCAGGTTTACTTGGAATTTTTAAAGTAAATTTGGATCTAAACTGTCTGAAGAGTGCTGCTTCTTCTATGTATTTAACAATAAACATGGATTGCCGTATTTCTCACACTGTTAATACACATAGGATCCAGTGAGCTCTTTCAGATATGTAACAATGATCATGTGTGCTGAGAGTATTCCCATAACACATAGGATTTATCTCTTGTGTGAGTTTCTTCATGTATTTCACTTACAATCTGGCTGCTGAAAGTATGTCCACTTGCTTATGTAGCCATCCCAGTGTGAATTCTTTCATATGTTTTGCAATGACTGTATGTGTTAAAAGCTTTGCCACATTGTTATATGCATAGGGTTTCTCACCAGTGTGGAGTCATTGATGTATTTTACAAAATCCATGTGTGGTGAAAGCTTTCCCACAGTCTTCACATAAACAGGGTTTCTCAACAGTGTAAAATTTTTCATGTATTGGACAATGAGCATTTCTGCTGAAACTTTCCCACATTCAATGCATATATAAGTTTTCTGCCCAGTGTGAAGTTTTTCATGCATTATGCAATATGTACTTGTGCTCAAAAAAGTTCTCATGTTGCTTATATACCCTGGTTTTATCTTGAGTGTGAACTTTCATGTTGCTTACAATGTCCATGTTGGGTAAAAGCTTTCCCACATTGCTTACATATAATGGTTTCTCTCCAGTGTGAATTCTTTCATGTTTCTTAAAATATCCCTGTGTGTTAAAAGCTTTCCCACATTGCTTACATACATAGGGTTTCTCTCCAGTGTGAATTCTTTCATGTATTTTACAATCTCGCCGTGTGTTAAAAGCTTTCCCACATTGCTTACATACATATGGTTTCACTCCAGTGTGAATTATTTCATGTGCCTTACAATGTCCTTGTGTGGTAAAAGCTTTCCCACATTGCTTACATACATATGGTCTCCCTCCAGTGTGAATTCTTATATGAATCTTATAATATGCACGTGTTTTAAAAGCTTTCCCACATTGCTCACATACATACGGTTTCTCTCCAGTGTGAATTCTTTCATGTGTCTTACAATCTGCCCGTGTGTTAAAAGCTTTCCCACATTGCTCACATACATAGGGTTTCTCTCCAGTGTGAATTCTTTCATGTTTTTTAAAAGCTCCCTGTCTGTTAAAAGCTTTCCCACATTGCTTACATACATAGGGTTTCTCTCCACTGTGAATTCTTTCATGTATTTTACAATCTCGCCGTGTGTTAAAAGCTTTCCCACATTGCTTACATACATATGGTTTCTCGCCAGTGTGAATTCTTTCATGTTCCTTACAAGGTCCATGTCGGGTAAAAGCTTTCCCACAATGCTTACATACATATGGTTTCTCACCAGTGTGAATTCTTTCATGTTCCTTACAAGGTCCATGTCGGGTAAAAGCTTTCCCACAATGCTTACATACATAGGGTTTCTCTCCAGAGTGAATTCTTTCATGTTTCTTAAAATATCCCTGTGTGTTAAAAGCTTTCCCACATTGCTTACATACATAGGGTTTCTCTCCAGTGTGAATGCTTTCATGTATTTTACAATTTGCCCGTCTGTTAAAAGCTTTCCCACATTTCTTACATACATATGGTTTCACTCCAGTGTGAATTATTTCATGTTGCTTAAAAAGTCCAGATTTGGTGAACCCTTTTCCACACTGCTGACATACATAGGATTTCTCTCCACTGCAATATTTTTCATGGATCTGAACACTGTGGTGTATTTCTGCTTCTTTCATATTCACATTACCTTCTGCAGTAAAAAGGAATACTTCTTTACACTGATTCCAAGATGTTTGTCCGTAGGATTTCCCTAGCTTGTCATTTCTGTAAAGAAAAATCACATATTACTAAGTTTTTATTGGAGATTTGAACAAAATTGTTTGCATTCTCACTGTGTGAATCCAGACTTCTTATGTTTCACTTTTGTATTTCATTAACTATTTCTATGAGCAGCATACGTAACCATTGTCTGTAGATTTCTTACTGTTTATTTTCACTTTGAAAGTGGTATCATTTCTACTTATTTTGTTCTATTTTAGTCTTTCTTACATTAAATAAAAAAAAGAAAAATTCACAGTGAAATGGGTCTCAGTTTAATGACTGCATTAATGTCAAGTTCTGCTTTTAATGCCTGCTAAGAAATTCTGAACATGAATTAACAGAATGGCCTTATAAGACATGTTGAAAACAACCATTCCCAAAAGACTGGTACACATTTGGAAATCTTAAAATTTGGTACCTTTTGAAATGCAGAATTTTTAGCTTCACTTTGGGCATTGGTAGATATGTGTATCACATACAGATCATTCTGATACATTTGCCCATCACAATCTCCCTTTTGTCCTTAACTTGTAGTTCCCTTTTCCATATGGCCAGTCTTACTTTTCTCTATTAACTTTTTCATTTCATTCCACAACTTATATTTTGGTTTCTCATCTAAAAGAAACCCTGTGACCTTTTAGGTTTTATAGCTGAGCTATTTCACTGAATTGATGAGAGAAAGAACCACCTATTTCTTATGGCAAATGACATAATATTATTTATTTTTTGACATCATATAACACATTTTTTTCTCTTCCATGCTGGGAATGAACAACAGCTATTACCATAAAATCTATAGCTTTTTAAATGTGTTTTAAGAGATTTTCGCTGATCATTAAGCTGTGAAGTTTGAACTTGAATTTGCCACTCTGCAAAATCTGATTCCTAGTGTGCTGGATTTACAAGAATGCAGAATCACAGAGAGTCTATTAACATTTTCCTTCTCCACAAATCCAGGGATAGATAGCTAAGCTTCTTCACAGCATGATCTATTATAACTTGATCTGCTTTGTATATGAGTAAGCTTGTATCAGTATTTTATGTGGATTTTGAATTTTTAAAAATATATCCAAGACAAGTATGAGGGGATCAATTTCTAGAGACAAATGCACACTGATATTCAGAATGAGTGCACTTAACATTCCACCAGCCTTCTAAGAATTTTAGTCAGAATGGCTGATACTTTAGAGCATGGCTTGGAAACACAAGCACTCTGTTTTACTTCAAATTCTATTGCAATCGTAGAAATTTTTAGATAATGAATGTGTTGTATTCACATGTATATATGGGTAGAAAAACGGAAGGGAGAATGTCATAACTCAAAGTGCATGCCTTTCATACACATCTATATGCAATGTCATACATTTTCATGATTTAATTCCCTCATCATACATATCCTAGCTTATACGACTTCGGAGAATATTACTGACAATAAATTGAATGGTGCCTCATTTGTTTGGTTGTCATTTTGCTGCTGACTCACTAATTACTCAGGAACATTCCTTCTCCTTATGAGTGTGAATTACCTTAAGTATCTCCAGTAAATTTTGCATTCTTTTTCAGCTTCCTGGATATCCCCAAGTCCTCCTGAATTGTAGACATAGAAATACCAGTGCTCATTAGAATAATACATACCAATTAATAGATTTTGTTTAGAGTTACGATATAATGTGTCATTCTGAGCTATTTTTAAAAATATTTTCACATTGTTTTTAATCAAACAGCACTAATGAATGACATAAAACATTCTGACAGCATGAGTGAAAAAAGTATTTTGTCCTTACCAATTGCAGTCATGTTCCGAAAGGTTTCGCCCATCACATCTCTGTAGAGGTTCTTTTGGGATGGACTCAGCAAAGTCCACTCCTCATTGCTGAACTTCACAACCACATCCTCAAAGGTCATCACCTCCTAAAGGATCATACATATATGTCTCACACAAAGGTTGAGACACCAGGTTTGTGATATCTTAAATTCTCTCCTACAAATCTGAATCAAAAGCAAAGTGTGGTGGTGCATATCTACAATCCCAGCACTCAAAAGGCTAAGACAAGATGGCTTCAGAGAGTTTGGGCAATTCTAGGCTCCATAGGGTGTTCAAATCCAGCTGATATACATACAGAAAGCTTGCCTCAATAAAACAAAACTAATAAAACCAAACAAAACAGCTGAATGAAGACTGATTTCTTCAAATTTAAATCCATGTTTTGGTCATTAATTTTGTGTATATACACATTTTTGAAGACAGCAAATTTGATGATAGATTGCCAACTCACTGCTAATGTAACAGTGAAATAGGAGCACTGGTTTTTGTGCTGAGTCACTGCAAGATTCCCTGTATACTGTCTCTAAAGCAGAGCTCACAGTGAGAAGCCTGCAGAACCAGCATCCACAAAGCACAGAGGCAGATAAGTATCCCATCAATCAACTGGGAAGCCAAGCAAGGACCTCCCTCCTGATAAGTGGTGGCAATGTGGCAGACTGTGGCCCATCCAGGGGGCAAACCAGCAGCAGCTCCTAAGATCCACGCTATGTGGGAACTTAGGATGCTGTGAAACCAAACAAGCAGCCTGTTTCCCTACTAAGCAATAGTGAACCTACTGATGAACAGCCTAGAATCAAACATACCTCTTCCCTACCCCTCTTCTCCTGTCACCCCCTCCCCCCCCTTTAGCAAAGGGAACCAGAAATCTGAGCTTCTCCTGGGAAGCAAACCATAACAAATAAAGGGGACTTCCTTGTAGTATCTCTTTGAAGGCAAATATTTTTATTACTGTTTTGCCCTATTCTGATTAATGGTATTGCTCTATTCAATGTTCTGTTTTGATAAGTACTATAATGTTCTCTATTTCATCTCATTTTGATACAAATGTTTGAAAGAACAACTATTATAAAGATAATAAAATATGTTGTGATACCTATTACTGTTATCCCAGTAACCTGTTGTGAAGTTGTTTACCAACTTCACTGTATGATCTTAGTTGGCCTTATTCTGCCTTGTTGTGTTGTAATTTACCACTTTCAAAATTTAAAAAAAGAAAAAAAATCTCATCAATCACTTTGATAGGCTACAGATAATGTCTCTTCAAATCTCATTTAGGCCAGTGAGTACTTTGTTCTTAATATACTCCAGCAGCATTTTGAAACATGAATGTGGTTTCATAGAACAAAACATAAATAACATCCAATATGGTACACAAATAATAACTCAAATGTTAGTGGAAAATACTGTTTTTAAAAAATAAGTATATAAAATGGAACCAGGCCCAAGCTGTAATTTACAGCTCACTGTCACCAAGCGATCACTTTCAATTTAGATATAAGAAATATATCTTGGGAGGCTGGTGAAGGAGTTCTTCCTTGAATTTTGGGCTATCCTAAATTACAGAGCTGTATAAAATAGAGAAACCCTGACTGAGACACCTCACAGACAAAGTGAAACTTGCAAAGAGAATGCATAAGACACCTTTGGTTTGTTTTTAAAAATTATAGCCATACAATCCCGAAAAATACCAATAGTGTTCAACACTTTCTGAGAAACAATGTGGATATCTTCCATGCTACACAGAAAACACTTTCATAGTTGGGTATTTAGCTCAGTGGCATGACCACCTTCCTAGAAAGCATAGGTCATGAGTTTGATCCTTGGTACAAAAAAATCCAAATTTTACCTTCATGACATTGGAGCATTAGAGATAATCCAAATTAAATCTCAAGTATGGAACAAAAAATAAATGGGTTGACAAGGACGTGAAATACTGATTGTTGCCAGAGCTGGTGTTGATCACCTCAAGGAAGCAATCAGAACCCAACTTTAACTTCATACTTACTCTAAGAACTACCTGAATTTCAGTGAAGACCCTCTCTGTTGTATGTCCTGCTATTGGCTTCCTGCATCCTGTCAGTCACTTGCACATCCTTTCCATGCTCCTCTGATCCATCCTCAGCAGGAAACCCTTCATGCCAAACTATTGATATCACTACAAAATTTCTATTTAGAGCATCTCCTTTACACCAGTTAGTAAAGTCCATTGCAGAGCATTTCCAAATTTAAACTGTCCATGAACAAACAAACGACTAAATCAGCACTTAGTAAAGACCATTGCAGAGCATTTCCATATTTAAACTGTCTATGAACAACCAAACTACTAAATCAGCTCTTAATTCAGATGACACCCCGATTCCTTTCCATTTAGAACGATATGATGTGTATATGTCCCTGCAAATGCCTATATTTTGGCATTTTTTGATGGGAATTTAACAGGTAGCCCTTTCTGGAATTTGTCCTTAATAAATTTTTACTCTGTCCTTGATAACACTTTCATATTTGCTTCATTTTTCTCAAACTTCAAAACTCTATGGCTGTGCTCACAAACCTAGTCTGTGAGCAGGGGTGCCACATAAATAATTAAGTATGTTCAGAAATTATTTTGCACTGTTCTGTATAATACACAGGAGTTTAGCAGGTGTTTGGGAAGCCTTCCTCTACTGAAGCACATTACTACACATCTCTGTATTCTTAGGACCTTTGCCACTACCTGTCATGAGGATGGAAATATGAGAACATACTATAAATATAGGAGACCACTATAAATACAAAAATGCCACAGTTTAATTTGAGCCATTGTGACTATAAAGCCCTGCATTACAGGCATTAATGAACTTTGGACATTCCAGATCAGCTACTCTGAGGAAAGAGAGCAGAGATGTAGCTCATTACTGCTCTACAAGCTACAAAAAGCATCATAGTCAGGGTCTTCCCAAGCTCCTTCCAATGCCGAAGATTGTGGAGTTACCAGGCCAGCAGTGAATTTCAAAGATGATACTTGAGTCTGCTGCTGTCATAGTGGAGCCAGGGTTCTGGGGACCCCAAATCACCCTTGCCAACATCAAGAGGCAAAAGGGAGAGTGAATGACCCATGGCCAATGCTTGAGGACCTCAGGAGCTGAAGCTAACTAAATACCTGAGGCTCCAGACACCAGAACTACTCCTACATACTTGTAACTGGTTTCACCCAATCCACCCTATCTCTGGGCTCCCATCCACAACCTCACCCTTCCATGGCTCCAAGATCTCTCAGGTTCTTTGCTAATCAGGCCACAGGACATCAAAAGAACTAAATGAGATCCAGAAAGCATTTTGCTACCAGTATTATACTCAGAACAGGTAAATCATGATGAGACACCAGAAGAGACAGAGGTCACAGCCAGCAATGGCCTGTTGGATTGGACAGTTCATATAGCCTGCCCCTTCATCACTGATTGACTCCTGCTCTACTGCCCCCCTTCTGAGTCAAGAATAAACAGGGAAAGGAACCCTAACCCTGCAAGAGAGGATCCCAAATGATACACTGTAGTGCAGAAGCTTCTTGAGCTGCCATTCTTCTACAGTGGTGAACTCAGCTCGACAGAGGGGTGTTTCTACAGAAGAGCTTTACCTCAGGCTTTTAATTTTCAAATCCATTTGATTTCAAGGAAAAAAGAACACATCAACTAAAATTAAACTTCAAAACATGTTAATCAGGGGGCAACACTGGTATATACATTGCACATTGTCATACCCAGATCATTCACATAGAGCACAAGACATCTCTAATCAATTTTCCAAACAGTACTGTTACAGGGACCTGAGTTATTTAAATAGTATTGGCAGGAGACAGGGCTAGGTCCCCCAAGGAGCCCATGCAGGAGACCAGATAGCTTGCAACTATGGGGAAGACTGACACCTCATGCTATGGGCCAAGGCTGAAGACAAATGACAAGCAAATTCATCCATATCCTAAGGATTGATATTCTAAATAGTTCCCTAGCACTCTGAGGAAGTCAGGAGTCACCATTCAATGGAATGTATCCTGTTAAAGACTGACATTCTACATAGTTCCTGTCATCCTGATGACCTCAGTAGTCACCCTCCCAAACCCCTAAGCGAAGCCACAGCTGCCTAAGAATGCCTGCTTTCTATGTGACTCCCTTCCCTCTTTGTTCCCAATTTAATCAACTTTACCTGAACTTATAATCTTATTGGCTACCTTATCTCTGTCCCATCTTATGCCCATCTGCATTGTGAGTTCCTAGTTTTCCCCTCCTTAAACTAATTTCACCACATGATTTTACTCTATAAAGATCCCTAGAAAGGACAGTGTTTGGCAACCTCCTCAGGACCCCTTCTCTGTCTCAGGCAGCTTTCGTTCTCTCAATAAGTATATTCTTCTGTTAATTTCCGTTGTTCCTAAAATTCAGTCTTTGACTTTACAGAACAAAAACGTCATATCAGACATAGCAGACCAGGAAATTGATTTTGCTATAGCAATATCAGTATAAACTTTTCTCTTTCTGGAAGTCAGAGAAATCAGTTGTAGTTTATATTACACAATGTTGAACTCACCTTGCCAGGGATACTTGCATCGAAGGCCTTTATCCCTGCCTTTAAGTGCTGCTTCTTTTTTTGAAAGTGAACTGATCTGTAATTTTGGTTATGGTATCAACAATGCATTAAGGAATTGAATCAAAATATTTCTTATGAATGGCTTATCTCCAGCCATGGTGGAAGACAGATAGCAAAAATTCTTTGTTTTGATTTCT